CCCCCCCCCCCCCCCTAGTTACAAGTGGACAGAAACAAATCACTCCAACTCCCAACGAACGCAATACAATGGAAAACAACAACAGTTGGGTGATGCACGTTCTGACAATATACCTACCCACCATGCAATTCCCATTCAGGGAACAAAATAAGCAAAGCACAAAACAGAGGAAGCAACAGGAGATAAGAAAAAAGAAAGGAACTATAACTAAATTTAATTTGTATCAACTCCAATTACTATGCCTCTCCATATTCTTCTATCCTTGCTTCCAGCATGTCCATATACTGATTCCTATATGGTCTTTTGTTCTTTAAACTCTTGCCTCTCTCTTTCTGAGGATCTCTTATGAACTCCATTCAGTCACCATTTTCTTACCCTTCCCCTTCCTCTCAACCCATTCATTCTTCTTTCATCTATTGGTTTTCAGATTCGGCCCTCATTCATTCTCTCTGTATGACAAAATTATCTTAATGTCATTCATGCTGATCGTTCCCTTTCGGATTGCGTCCACATTCATTCAGCACCTATTCATTCTTCATTTTCTTCTTGTTTTACCATCGCCCTAACCCTAACCAGTACCTAACACTAACCCGTATCTCACTTCCACTGCACCCAACTTAAGTTTCAGTTTCTTCGGGCATACCCAACTCTCACGTCCATATAGCAAAGTGAGCCGTATTTGCGCAAGATAGTTCCTCTATCTTTCTAAAAGCATTTGCTCATCTGAAACATTCTATCACGGTACATAAAGAGACTCATATCTGAGCATTATTCCCTCACATATACTTTCCATGTGGTTGGGAAAGATGGGAAATTGATTCTGTTAGGTGGGCAATCTGTAGCCAGCATAAAACGTCACAACGTATTATTTCTGGCCCAAGTTCCTCTCCAAGGGGGAAAGCATTTTGGTTGCCCTCCAGAGACTTTGGATCACAACTTCCCTATTTCCTAATCACTATCTATACTGTTTGAAATGATGGGACTGGAAGTCCAAAATACCCATTCTGGAGCCACATGTCTTTAAACAGGAAACAACTAAGAGTTCTTCCGCCTTCCCTGTGCTTTGTACAAAATTGCTTATCCCAGAAGGGAACAGTGTAATAGGTATGTACATATCTGCAATTAAGATCTCTAATTTATTTTTCCTTTAACAATCATCTTTTTTTTAAAATTCTCAAGGACATGTGACTATGTGAAGGCTTAAAAAAACAACAGAAAACAGCAGCACAAAATACCCTTGTCCAAGACAAAATGTTAACATCTAAACAAAACAGATGAAGTCTAATTGTTCTGAAGGCCGGGAGGTTTTGAGAGACATGATTTTATGTTATTTTAATTCATTGCCAAGTTTCTCTGCTGGTAAGGGGCTTTGTTCTTCATCTGACAAATGAACCAGTTGGAATGTCAAGGCTGAGATTCTGAACACTCAGTTTGTTCTACTATTGTTGCTTATTTCAATGATTGTTCCCTCCCTTTAGGGCCATTACCAAAACATTAGGGGGCAGAAAATACATTAGCACACACGTAATCAATCTTAAGAATCAGATACAAAATTCTATACAGCATTATCACTCCACTTGTTAAAAGAGAGGGCAAAAAAGAGAGGGAGGTTATGATGAATCGTAAGGGCAACCTGAATCTCAGTATCATTTCTTTGCCAGCAATGTATAAAAATATTCTTTGGCTTAGCTGAGCACTGGTATTTGAATAGGCTGATTAAAAAAAAAAAATCCTTATATAATAAATGTATATAAATATAGCAGAATGAAGCAAATGTGCCAAAGCAGAATTAAAAACAGTTTTGTTGAAAAATTCCAACAAAGAAGGGGCTGGCCGCAGGAATAGCCATTTGAAAGGAAGATTAATATAGGACTGGGTTCTATAAAGCTTAATATTAAGTTGTCTTGGCAACAAAGAGAAATCCAGCTAAAAGGTAAAAAGACCCTGATGTCAACATATGGCAAGGTCAAAGACCCAGTGTTCATTGTGCCTGGAAATATTTGGACTACAACCCTTTTCTTCTTTAGAAAAAGCTGGGTGCTAGTGCACATGGGGAACCCAACAATTTTAGGATTGGTAGCTCCTTTGGCATTTGCAGGAGATGGTAGTGACATCAAAGGAACTCTGTGATGCATTAGTAAGCTTGGCAGATAGTTCCCACAGTTTCTTTTCTGTCCCTCCCATCTCACTACCGGAAGCAACATAGATGGCTGTGCATTGCTCCTGACCTTTGCCTGTAGATTGGAAGGGCAGCTTCATACCAACTGCTCCCCATGCTTCCATAACTGCCAGCTACTCATCTGAAAGTAGTTTTCACAGTGCTCTAGATACAATCATCCAGGACAGTAAGCAGAGTAATTTTGTTCTTCATTGGGAATTGCATGTATGTCCTATGGTTGGTTGTGTGGTAAGACTCACCAAGAGTCATCCCAAGTGAGGCATACTGTAAAGGAACAATTGCTGCAAACTCTATGCTTTGGCCTCAGGAAGCTGTAAGATAGAGTAGATTTAGTTTCTTTTCCCTACTCCTTTGGACTTCTCCAGATTCTACACAACTAGGAGTCTCCCCACTCCTAGTGGAGATCAAGGAGATCAATCAATTCAATATCTCAACTCTGAAAGTTTGCAATTAAATCCTCTTCTTGGCCAATAGTTTAGATGGCATCAAAAGAGGACCAGACAAATTCCTATGGTAACTGGTATATGGCTACTCCCCACTCAAGTCCTGCTATGCTGCCTCATCGTGGTGGTGGTAGGGTTCCTGGGAGGGATGAGCAAAGAATACCAGAAGTGGATGCCAAGAGTCTATATTCCATCAGGATCACCAAGGCATGAATTTCATCCCAGCTGCCAGCCTGAAGCAAGCAGGAACCTATATCAGGCAGCAGAGATATAAGAAGATGCTTGAAGCAGATGATCCCTTTAGTGATGAGAAAGGCATCCTTTCATACTGCATGAGAGAATGCAGAGGTAAACCACTCTTGTATTTTAGCAGGAAAACCACATGGAGAGGCAGGATAAAGTGATTGATGATAGAGTGTCGGATGATGGATCCTTAAGGTCCAATGGTATTCAACATATTATTGAGGGAGGGCTAAGGATCTTTCTGAGTACTAATGGAGTTCATGAAATAGCTAGATTAAAGCCTTCTGGATCTGTAATTACTGATGTTGCCATGTAGGAAAAGAAATGCAAAACTGCAAACACAGAATTACAATTGGAAGATGAAATGTATGAAGCATGAATGTGGGAAAGCTCAACACAGTGGAAGATGAAACGAATCGACCACACATTGACATTTTAGGCATCAGCGAGTCGAAATGGACTGGAATTGGGCAATTTCAGTCCGTGAGATCATGCTGTTTATTACTCAGCACATGAAAAACAAAGAGGGAATGGTGTTGCTTTCATAGTCAGGAAAGATATAGCAAAAAGAGTACTTGGGTACCATGCAGTCAGTGACCAACTATTACTTATTAGACATCACAGATAACCCTCTAATATGACAGTTTATGTACTAAGTTTATGTACCAACTGATGCAGAAAAGAAAAGTCAGGTTCGATCTGAAATCAAGAGAACACGCAAGCAAGATGTGTGGCTTGTGGTTGGGGACTAGAATGCCAAAGTTGAAAAATACTAAGGAAGGACAGAAAGGTAGCTGGACTGTATGGCCGAAAAAACAGAAATGAAGCAGAAATGAAGACTTATCCATTTCTGCTAATCCAATGATTTCTTCATTGCTAACACAACCACCAAAACAACACTATATGCATGGAGATCACCAGGCAGAGCACACAGAAATCAATTTGACTATATTATTGGTACAAGGAGAGGGAAGAGTTCAGTTACAACAGAAAGAGGTGGCCATGGGCTGATTGTGAAACCGACCATTGGCTGCTCGTGGGTAAGTTCTAAGTTAAGCTAAAACAGAAGAAGAAAGCCAGTCAGTTTTCAGAATATGGTCTCGAGCATATATCCACCATTAGGAGTCTTGTTCAAGTCCTAAACCTCATTGGTAGGGGACCAAAGGAACTGTGAAATGAAATGAAATGAAATGAAATGAAATCTTTAATTATTAATCAAAAAAGTCACTAAGGGTGAATGTGAAAGAGACTGCCAAAGATGAAGAAACAGAAGAAAACAAACGATGTCAGAACAAACAGTGGAAATTGCCAAGAAGAGAAGAGAAGTCAAAGCCAAGAATGACAAAGATCTCAGGAAGGAACTCAACAAAGAATGTCAGAGAGCTATTAGAAGAGACATGAAGCAATATTACAACATCTGTAAAGACATGAAAGCAGACATGAAAAAACAAGACCAGTTTTCCGAAAGATCTCCAAACTCAGAAGGGGGTTCCAACCTTGAATTTGTATGCTAAAAATTGCCAGTGAATGGATAGTAGCTGATTCAAATAAAACCGAACAGAGATGGAAGGAGTATACTGAACAGTAGGGGAGTCAACATCCAAAATACTTTAGAAGATATTCCCTATTTACAAAAACCTCTAGTACTAGAAGATAAAATTAGATCTGTCATTATCAAGTCAGAAAGCTTCACGAATTGATGGAATATCTAGATATATGGCATGTAATAAAAAAAAATCAGAAAAGATTTTAGCTACACTATGCCAACAAATCTGGAGAACAACATAGTGGCCAATAGATTGGAGGAGGTCAATCTACATACCAATATTAAAGAAGACCTAGCAGAATTGCAAACTCTCGTACAATATCATTAATTTCACATGCTAAGAAAATAATGATTAGGAACATCCAACACATATTAGAGCCCTACATGGAAAGGAAATGCCAGATGTTCCAAGCTGGTTTTAGAAAAACTGAGAATAAGAGACATTATTGCTGATGCACGCTGGATAATTGAGAAAACCAAAACACATCCACAAAAAGTGAGTATGTGGTTCACTGACTATAGAAAGGCCTTTGATTATGTTGACTAACATACTTAGGAAAATGGAAATTCCAGAACATCTCATTGTCCTCAAGCAAAACCTATCCACAGAGCAGGAAGCCACAATCCAGGCAGAACATGGTGATACAGACCAGCTCCAGGTCAGCAAAGGAGTAAGATAAGGCTGTATACTCTCTCCTTATTCATCCAACCTATATGATTATAGGTTGGAGATAGATATACTGTAGATATAGATATAGAGATAGAGTTAGAGTTAGAGTTAGAGTTAGAGATAGAGATAGAGATAGAGATAGAGATAGAGATAGAGATAGAGA